CTGAGTGTCTCTCTCCTAGGGGTGGATTTGGTCCCCATTAAGCCCATCCCCAACGTGGTGACGCTGCAGGAGGACATCACCACGGAGAAGTGTCGCCAGGTAATTCCCACCCCACAATGCCTCCTGAACCCCGACAGCCGGACACTTTAGCGCATCTCCCCCGGCCCTGTTTCTGGGGGGATGGGGGGGCATCATGTTCACCCGCCCCCCAGAGGCCTCTCTGCGGTGAGATCCCCAAGCCACCCACCCCGGTTTCCCTTGGGGGGAGTGGGTAGGACCCTTGGGTTTGGCTCAGCCCTGGGACGCAGGTTCTGTAGGCTGGAGGGAGCGTTGGTCTTGGGGGGTTGGAGGGGAGGCCTGGCTTGGGGGGAGGGTCGGCAGGCTCACTGTGCCCTCGCCCCCCTCCCCCTCTCTGCTGTAGCGAATGTGAGGGGGGCTGTCCTGGCAGGGAGGGTGTCCCAGGCTCACCCCCTGCCCTCGCCCCCCAGGCCGTGCGCAAGGAGCTGCAGACGTGGAAGGTGGACGTGGTGCTGAACGACGGGGCCCCCAATGTGGGGGCCAGCTGGGTGCATGACGCGTACTCCCAAGGTACCTCCCCCCCTCGCCTGGCGGCCCCGGTCCCTGTGACAGCCGAGGGTTCAGCTCCATCCCTAGCGCCCTGGAGCTCCCCGGGTCCAGCTCAGCAGTCCTGTGTCCCATCGCCCCCAGTGCAGGAGCAAAGGGCCCTCTGGGGCCGGCCCAGTTACAAGGGATCGGGACCCAGCACTGTCGGTCGTGTGCTCCAGAGCAGAGAGCGGCAGGAGGCCTGGGCCCCGTGGAAGTGTCAGACAGACGCCCCAGGGGAGGGAAAGGAACGCGCCGTGCCAGGCGAGTGCCTGTGGGGTTGTCTCCTCAGCAGGCCCAGGGCTGAGTCCACCCCGCCCCCTGCCCCATCCTTCCCCTCAGGTACCACGACAAGCACCGTGGGAACCAGAATCAAGCTGGATCCTGCTCCCTAGCCATGCCCCGGTCTGCCGCGCTTGGAGCCACTGGGAGTGAAGGCTCAACGGGGTTGGCTTTGGCGCTGATCCATCTCCATTCTCCACTCCAGCCAACCTGACGCTCATGGCCCTGAAGTTGGCCTGCGAATTCCTTTCCAAGGGCGGCTGGTTCATCACAAAAGTCTTCCGCTCCCGCGACTACCAGCCCCTCCTGTGGATCTTCCAGCAGTTGTTTCGCAAGGTGCAGGCCACCAAGCCGCAGGCCTCCCGCAACGAGTCGGCCGAGATCTTCGTCGTCTGCCAGGGTGAGCTGGGGCCGGGGGTTGCTGGGTGGGAAGGGAGTGGGGGTTGCTGGCTGACACCTCTAATCCTTTCCTTTTCCCTCTCCCAGGATATCTGTCCCCAGATAAAATTGACAGCAAATTCTTTGATCCCAAATTTGCCTTCAAGGAAGTTGAGATTCAGGCCAAATCTGTGAGCGAGCTGGTGACCAAAAAGAAACCAAAGGTACAAGTGAGCAGTCCGGGGGGCTTGGCTGTGAGGGGAGGCCCTTTGGGGCAGGGAGAGCAGCCCCCAAGGATGAGGAGAGGGGTCCATAGTTTAGAGTGGGGCTGGGGGAGGCTGTGGCGCTTGGACCCTGCCGAGTGGAGCCTGCTGCTTACTCATCCCGTCTGGCTAGTAATGTATATGCTTGGCGCTTCAAACGTGCTAATTTCCCAAAGCCGAGGAAAACCATGAGTGAAATTGCCTGGGAGGAAAAATGTAGGCAGGAAAATTAATGAAAATTGGGAGCCCTTTTAAAAGGGTGTATTGCATGACCAAAAAGTCATGATTCTACAGTCAAGAAAGAACATGGCCTAAAATCCCATCCTGGTTCAGTGGTGAAGAGAAAGTGACCATTAGACATAAAAAAGTAATAGATAACACATGGAAAAAAGGGGAAATGCATAGCAATGGGTATAAATAAGTTATGGAGGGTAGAAAGTTGATAAGGGAAACTAAAGAGATCAGGGTAAACTCCCTGGCTTTCATAGCTAAGGACAATAAAAAGTTTAAGGATATTAGGAACAAAATAAATGCTAGCAATGGTATAGGCCAGGGGTAGGCAACCTATGGCACGCGTGCCAAAAACGGCACGCGGGCTGATTTTCAGTGGCACTCACACTGCCCGGGTCCTCGCCACCGGTCCAGGGGGCTCTGCATTTGAATTTAATTTTAAATGAAGCTTCTTAAACATTTTAAAAACCTTATTTACTTTACATACGACAATAGTTTAGTTCTATATTATAGACTTATAGAAAGAGACCTTCTAAAAACGTTAACATGTATGACTGGCACGCGAAACCTTAAATTAGAGTGAATAAACAAAGACTTGGCACACCACTTCTGAAAGGTTGCCGACCCCTGGTATAGGCCTATTACGCTAGGAGGAGATGGTAAAGTTCTTAATATAGAAAAGGCAGAAAAGTGTTTAATAAATATTTGTGTGTTTGGCAAGAAGCAGGATTATGATCTCGTATTACATGAGAATGGTGAAGTACTTTCTAGTCTGTTAGCAACCAAGGTGGATGTTAAAAAGCATCTACTAGGAACAAACATTTTAAAATCAGCAAGTCACTAGCAACCAAAAAGTCCTAAAAGAGCTGGCTGAGAAAATCTCTAACCTACTGATGTTAATTAATGCCAATTAATGTGATGGGGGGTTGGGGGTGTCTTGTCAAACAAACGTGATTTCATTCTTTGAAAGGTACTTGTCTTAGTACTGCACAACATTCTAACTGTAAACGTAGCGCTGTGCCGTACCTGCAAAGCAAGCAGTAAGTGGATTAACACCTGGCGAACTGACAGATATCAAAAGGCGTCAGCATCTAATGGGCGAGTGTCCAGTGGGCTTCCGCAGGGTCTGGTACTAGACCTGACCTCATTCAACATTTTCATCAGTCTGGAAGCAAATAGCAAACGTGCAGCTGAGCCAAAGATTTGTGGAGTGAGGCCCCAGGTGTTGTAATACAGCCAAAGGCAAGGTCGTGTCTAGGGCCGTACCTGCGGAATGGGGGCCTGCGTCCTGGAAAGCAGGGAGTCTGGACAGGACCTAGGAGTCCTCGTGGACAAGCAGCTGCCCGTGAGCTCCCGGGGCGATGCTGACGTGACCCGTGGCTGTGTGAAAAGGGGAGTCGGAGCAGAGTTCGGTACAGCGCTGCTGGGACCGACGCTGGAGACCGCACCCCGGTCTGGCGTCCGCATTTGAGAAGGATGTTGACATTTTAGAGAGGGTGCAGAAAAGAGCCACAAAACCGATTCGGGAGCTGGCGAACAGGCCGGAGAGTGACACACACACAGCTCAGTATGTTTCGCTGATCACAGAGCGGACTGAGAGTTGACTTGACGACAGTGATTTGATCTTGATGGGGAGAAAATACCGGCGACTAACGGGCTTGTTAAGGGCGACAGGCAGAACGAGAACCCCTGGCTGGAAGCTGACGTTAGACACGTTCGAGTTAGAGATGAGGCAGGACGTGTTCCCTGAGCGGGCGATTGTCCATTGGAACAAACTGCCCGGGGAAGGGGAGGGGCCCCATCTCGGTGTCGTCAGCTCCAGGCTGGAGGCTTCTGGAAGGAGCTTCAGGCACTACAAGCCGTTGGGCTCCATGTGGGTGCGAGGGGGGAAGTGAAATGGCTGGGCTAGGCCAGAGCTCAGACTAGCTGATCTAATGGCCCCTGCCGTGAATCTACGGCTCTGACCCCATCCTCCCGTCTCGCAGGCGGAGGGATACGCAGAAGGTGACACGACGCTCTATCACCGCTTCACGCTGATGGATTTCCTCAAGGCCCCCAACCCTGTGGATTTCCTCTCCAAGGCCAATGAGGTGAGTGCCCAGGGCCAGGCCAGCCCCGTGGGAGCGGAGCAGGGAGGGCCCACAGCCTGGGCTTGGCTCAGCCCCTCTGCTGGACACCGGCAGGGCACTTAGCAGCACCCAGGAGCTTGCTGGTGGGACCCACGGCCTGGGCTTGGGGCAGGGGAAGAGTTGCGAGGGCTGCTGGTCTCGGGAAGGAGACAGCTGCAGCCTTTCCCCTTTGGCTCCTGTGCAGATCACGCTGGGGGACAGCGAGCTGGAGCGGCACAGCGCCACCACCGAGGAGCTGCGCCAGTGTTGCCGGGACATCCGCGTGCTGGGCCGCAAGGAGCTCAGGTACCCTGGGTGGGTGGGGGGAGGGGGGCACGCGGCCTGGGCTTGGGGAGTCCGGCACTGCCTGGGGCGGCTGGTTCTAACTCGCTGCCTCTCTGCTCAGGGCCCTGCTGAACTGGAGGACGAAGCTGCGTCGCTTTATGGCCAGGAAGCTGAAGGAGCAGGCCAAGGAGCTGGACATCAGGTAGGAGGAGAAAGGTGGCTTCCCAAATCTGCAACTGCCCCCTCCACGCACACCAGGGGGCGCTCCGTAGCTCGTGCCCGCCAGCTGGTGGCGCTGGGGAGCCTGGCCCCGGGTTGGCTGGGTGGGGCAGGGCCAGGCTGAGTGACTCCATCTTCTGGCAGCTTGAGCTCCGGCGAGGAGGAGGAGGGCGGCGAGGAGGAGGCCGTGAAGACGTCGGGAGCAGCTGGGGATGGAGCCGCAGAGGAGGAGGAGATGGAGCTGAGGCTGGCGGAGCTGAAGGCAGAGGAAGTGGCTGAGCTGAAGAGGTGAGTGCTGCCCTCCCCAGCAAGGGGATCTGGGCACCCAGGGGTGGGGGAACCTCAGTGCTCCTGCTACGGGCATGTGATGGGCCCGTCCTCAGCTGGGCTGGGGTGTCCAGCCAGCAGAAATGCTGCAGGAGGCTCTCCCAGGGTGCCTCCCCCCATCGGTACCCCTATTTGCCCTGTGTCACGGACTCACAGATCGTGCCCACTCTTGGCCCCGTGCGGTCCGTGGGGGGTGCCCCTGTTAGTGAGACAGCCCTTCTCAGGGGTCCACTCTCTCTCGGGGTCAGGACCCTCCACCTCCTGGAGCCGCGCCTCAGAGCCTTAGCACATCTGTTTCTCGCCGTGGACCCCCTCAGGGAGTCCACTCGCTCTGGACCCCCCGGGCCTTCACCCCCGAAGGGGTTGATGCCACCCTGTTCTCTAGACCTGAGTGACTCTCAGCCAGCATAAAACAGGGGGGTTTATTGAGGGTTGAACACAGCACAGGAAACTCTCAGGGCCTCAGGCCTGGCCTCCCTCAGCCCAGCACATCCCAGTCTCTCTGCATCCAGGTGGGCTCTGCCTGCTCCCTCTCTCCAGCCCAGAGCCCCCCTGCTTCCCAGCTGGGCATCTGAGATCACCGGCCCCAGGCCCCGCCTCTGTCCATTGTCTTCTCTCCAGATAAACAGGGTCGTAAACTGGGGCGTCCTCTTCTCCCTTCTGTCCTCTGTCTGGAACCGGCTGGTTAGGTCACTGGGTCCTCACTCTGCAGCCCATTGTCCACCCACTGGCCAGAACCGGCTGCGTCTCCTCAGCTGGGCCTCCGGGTCACCGGTCGCTGGGGTATTCATCCTCCCGGCCATCGGCTGGGTTCCCAAGTCCTCTCCAAAACAAACTCCCTCTCCCCTCACCTCGTTAAATGAGTAATACCCAGGGAAACTGAGTCCCACCCCCTCCGCATGCAAACCATTGAAACTCCACAGAAAACAAGAAAACCCCCCACTTCGTCACACCCAGAGTACCCCCATGCGCCTCTCCCTGACCCCCTCCTCTCAGGACTGTTTCTGGGAGCAGTTTCCTTTGGGCTCAGGACCCCAGCCCCAGCCTGGCTCAGACGCTCGCCCACCCCAGCATGGGAGGGAAGCAGAGGCCCTGAGGGGAGTGACTGGCCCAAGCTCCCATGGTCTGCAGCAGAGCTGGGAATAGAACCCAGCAGTCCTGCCAGCCAGGCCTGCTCTGACGCCCCCCCGCCCGCCGAGAGACCCGGCTCCATGTGTCCCCGGCAGCAGCTGGAGCTCACTGCCTGGTGGCAGCCATGCCGCCCCTGGGGCTGCCCAGTGCTCTGCCCCAGCACTCAGGGAGGCACCGTGATGGGTGCCCTCGGGTGTGGGGGGATGGTGCCCCTTCCCCCATGACTGCACAGCTGTGAAAGTTATGGGCCCAGCCCCCCAGCACAGGGGTCTCCATCTGGGGGGGGGGGCAGTCAGACAGGCCTGCTGGGAGGCAGGATGGGGCAGCCGGGCTCCCATCCCCGTGATGGCAGCTGTGGGGTTCTGGCTGCAGCGTGACCCTCTCCCCCCCCCGGCGGGAATCCCCCCCAGGAAGAAGAAGAAGATCCTGAAGGAGCAGCGGAAGCAGCGCGAGCGCATCGAGCTGAAGATGGACCTGCCCGGCGTCTCCATCGCCGACGAGGGCGAGACTGGCATGTTCTCCCTCCGAACCATCGGCAAGACCCGGGTGAGGCTGCGGGGGCAGCAGCTGGCTCCCCACCGGCGTGACGGCCCATGTCTGCTCGGGGCAGAGCCGGGGGGTTGGGGGGGCTCGGGAAATGGGCAGGCTACAGGGGAGTGAGCGGGGCTAGGAGAGTGGTGGGTGGGGGCACTCCAGGGGTGTGGGCGGGGCCGGGGGGGGCTGGGCTGGGAGAGCGGCGGGGGATGATTTGATTTCTGTGGGGCCTGGCTCCTGACCCTCGCTCCCTGCTCCTCAGCTGCTGAATGAGGTGGCCAGGGGCGATATGGCGTCTGCGGACGCCTTCCTGGAGGCGCCGCACGAGGACGACGACGTGGCCTTCTCGGAGCAGGACGACGCGGACGACGTGTCTCTGGCCAGCGACCTGGACTCGGACGAGCTGGCCGACATCGAGGAGCGGCTGCAGGAAGCCAAGCGGGGGCTGGGCCCAAAGAGGTCAGAGCCACTGTGGGGAGCGGGGGGGCAGGTGAGGGATCCTGGCAGCTGCAGTAAACTCCCCCCGGTTGGAGCAACTTGGGGGCCGTGAAAACCGCATCACAGACAATGAAATCTGGTCTCCCCTGTAATAACATCTGGTCTGTTGTGAACTTTTACCGTAAGCAGCGTTTCACAAACCAGGGCTCCCGACCCGGGAGGGGGGCGTGGCATCGCCACTCCTACTTCTGCGCTGCCTGGAGAGCGGCGACTGCTGGCTGGCTTCCCAGCTCTGAAGGCAGAACAGAAGTGAGGGTGGCATGGTATTGGGGGGTCGTCACTTTTTGGGGGAATTGGCATGGGCTTTACATCTTTTGCCATTTTTAAATACATGTTCATGCTTTGTTACAACACCGTGAAATTTACATATCTGAAACCGGGACAGTCAAGCTTTTAAAAATGCTATGAGTGAAATTTACGAAAACGATGTGAATTTGGTAGGGCCATGGCCATGAGGGGTCCTGGGCAAACGACAGCCTCTCTACTCTGGGCTCCCAGTAGGGGGCGCTGTGACTGGCTGGGGTGATGACCAGGTGGACGGGGTCAGCCTGCCTGGCCCTTAACCCTCGCAGCACCACTGCGGTGGGAGGCTCTGCCCCTTTCCCAGGGGTTGGAGCCAGGTGGGCAGCTAAGTGCCCCTCCCCAGGGAGCCCTGTGCCAGGCAGCCTGGCTGCCCCCGCCGGGCCCCTGTCCGTGGCCCCGGGGCCGAGCGTGCCCGGCTACCCCCACCGGGCCCTGGTCCGTGGCCCTGGGGCTGAGCGTGCCCGGCTGGCTGTGTTGCAGAGGGACCTTCCAGCAGCCGGCAGAGGAGGAGGAGGAGGAGAATCCCCTGCTGGTGCCCCTGGAGGAGAAGTCGGTGCTGGAGGAGAGGCAGACCAACCTGTGGTTCGGGAAGGTGAGTGCCCCAGTTGGCCGGGAAGTGCCAGGTCCCGAGGTGGGGGGTGTCCCAGCCCCTGTGCAGCGGCTCCAGCCTCACCTGGGCCCACCTGCCCTCTGCTGGCTGGAGCAAGGTCTGCACTGGCTCTGGCCTGTCGCCCTCTGGTGGCAGCGCAGTGCGTGTGAGCCGTGGTGCTAGTGGCTGGCAGGAGACTCTTGAGCTCCCCCAGGGAGGCCTGGCTGGGGAGTTACAGGGGCCAGAGTCTCCCCACGTGGGCTGCAGGGACCCCAAGGATGGGGGGAGAGGGGGGAGCGCAGTGAAAGCAGCCCACGCACGAGGGCCTGCGTCCTTACCTTAAACATCCCCTCGCTCCCTCCTCCCAGCTCCCCACGTGTCTCCCCCTACCCCCCATCCCTGCCAGCTCCCTGCCATTCATGTGTCTCCTGCTGCCCCCCACCTCCCACCAGCTCAGCCCTGCCCTCTGTGACCAACCCCTCCCTGTCCCTAGGAGGTCTTTGCCGGCATTGAGGACGATGTGGACGAGGCCCTGGAGATCAGCCAGGCGCAGGTGCTGTCCGAGAGGAAGGAGCCGCCGCCAGGTGAGAAGGGGGCCGTGGCGTGCACGGGGCCGGCTGTCCCTGGGGGTGGCGCCTGTCAGGGTTCCCTCCCCACTCTGAACTCTGGGGTACAGATGTGGGGACCCGCATGAAAAAACCCCTAAGCTTATTTTTACCAACTTAGATTTAAAACTTCCGCAAGGCATAAATTCCTTCCTTGCCCTTGGTATTGCTGCCACCACCAAGTGATTTAAACAAACATTCAGGAAGGGCCATTTGGAGCCCTACCTCCCCCAAAATATCCCCCCAAACCCCTACACCCCCTTTCCTGGGGAGGCTTGAGAATAATATCCTCACCAATTGGTTATAAAGTGAGCACAGATCAACCCCCCTGGGTCTTTAGGACACTGAAAAACAATCAGGTTCTTAAAAGAAGTTTATTTTAGAAAAAAGATAAAAGAATCACCTCTGTAAAATCAGGATGGAAGATAACTTTACAGGGTAACAAAAAGATTCAAAACACAGAGGATTTCCCCTCTAGGCAAAACTTTAAAGTTACAAAAACAGGGATAAACCTCCCTCTTAGCACAGGGAAAATTCACAAGCTACAACAAAAGATAATTTAACGCATTTCTTTGTTATTACTTACCATTTTTGCAAGACTAGATGCTTAGTTCAGATATGGCTTAGGGAGATGTATTTTCCCTGCCCTGGCTCCTCGCTGACCTGGAGAGAACAAAGGAACCCAAAACAAAAACCGTCCCCCACAGATTTGAAAGTATCTTCTCCCCTTATTGGTCCTTTTGGTCAGGTGCCAACCAGGTTATTTGAGCTTCTTAACCCTTTACAGGTAAAGGAGGGATTTTATGCTACTCTTAGCTGTATGTTTTTGGCAGCCAAGCCCGGGAGGGAGCTGGGCCCCCATTGTCCAGGCGAGGAACTGGCCACGGGGTCACAGAAGCAATTGGAGCCCTGGTTCCCTGACCTGCTCTCAGGACCGACTGAATGGGAGGAGCGGCTCGTAAGACGAGCTCGACCCTGCCTCAGCCTCCCCAGGGGAAAGGGGCCCCGCCAAACGGGGCAGAGCGCCGGGTTTCCCTGAAGGTAGCAGGCCGGCCCCAGGCTGTCCATCCAGCCCTCGTGGCTGGGGCCCCTGGGAAGCAGGATTCCCCCTTATCAGATGCGACGCCCCTCCCAGCTGTGAGCTCCCTTGCGGCCCCCCAGTCCACCTCACCCACTGGCCTTGCTTGTCACACCCAGGGAACATGAAGGGGAAGGGGCAGAAGAAGCTGCCCCCATCCCAGGAGGCAGCTGCAGTGGAGGTGGGGCCCAGGGCAGCCGTGGGGGCTGGTCCCAGCGAAGACCAGGGTGGGGGGAGCAGCGGCGAGGAGGACTCTGACAGCAGCAGCGACGAGGAGAGGTGAGCAAACGGGGGTCGCTGGCCCGCCCGGGGGGGGGGGGGGGGTAGCAGGGGGCCCGGGCCCCTGGACTCTATACAGTGGGAGGGATGAGCTGGGAGGGGGCTGCCCTTCCCGCCCAGTCCTGAGCACCGTCGCCTTGGGGGGCGCTGCATGAGCAGCAGTGACCGTTCCTCTCTTCCCCCCCAGGGAGACATCGCAGAAGGGAAGGAAGCGGGCGCTCGCCGAGCCAGGTGGCTTTGAGGTGGTGCCCATTGAGGACCCAGGTGAGTTGAATGGGGGCTGTGTGCAGGGAAAAGCAGCCCTGCTGGGGTGTCTGGACACCAGCATGGAGCTCAGTGCTAGGTGGTGGGCACAGGCCCAGCTGGCAGGAGAGGGGCCTAAGGCCATGGAGGTTTCTGCTCCTGGGGAAATTCTGTGCCACTGCGCATGCGCAGAATTTATGTGCCCCACAGATTTCTTTGCTTCCCTGCAGAAAAATGACTTTCTGACGGGGAAGCAAAGGGAAGCCCCAAGAGTGGTCATGTGACCCTCCCCAGCAGTATGTTTCGGGTGCCCAGGGCAGCCGGCAGAGAGGTAAATCACTGTGGGGCAGGGGGTGGGACTGGGGAAGACCTGGCTGGTGGCTCCTACCCTGCGCTGGGCTCAGCTGCTAGTCCCAGCTGGGCTGGGGAGGACGGGACTTCCTCTTTCCCTGCACGGCATTCGGGGCTGTCAGAGCCTCCCCCAGCTGCAGGAAGCTCTGCAAACTCCCCCCACCACCTGCGTGTCCTGCACCCGCCGCTCCTCAGCTGCTGGGGGACGGATCCATGTACAGGGAGTTGCTCCCCCATCCGCCCAACTGCCGTGCATCCAGACTGCCTCCATACCCAGACCCTCCTGCTGAGTGTCACTCCCCACCCCCCGCACTCAGGATCCCCTCCCGATGACCACCACTCCCCCTGCACCTGGATCCCCGAGCCACCCAGACCCCCGTCCCGCTGAGCCCCAACCACCTTCACCTAGATCCCCCTGCAGAGTCCTATTGCACCTAGAACCCCCAACAAACCCCTGTGCCTCCAGATCCCCCACTGAGATTGCCCCGCACAGAACCCTCTCACCCCACAACTGGATCCCCCCACACTGAGCCCTTTCACACTTGGATTCTGCTGGGCTGAGCCTGCCGGCCCACCCTGGCATGGAGGGGCAGGGCCCTGGGGTGTTTCCGGGGCAGGCCTGGTCCTTGTGCTGCGTCAGGGTTGGGTGTAGCCTCACTGCTGAGTCCATGTCCCAGGGGAGCTGCAGGGTGATCTGCCATCTTTGCAGCCAGAGGCCTCTGCTCCCCACGGCCAGGCTGGAGCCTCCACATTTATGTGGCAAATAAAACGTGCAGGATTGGTAGTGGTTTGGTGCACAATGCCTTCGGGAGCGACCGGTTTCGTATATGGAGACGCCAGGGGCAGGTGGGAGGGTTTGTAGCAGCCTGAGCCCTAACGTGCTCATCTTCTCCCCCCAGTGAAGAGAGCCCGTGTCCTGGATGCAGAGGGGCTTGCGCTGGGGTCTGTCATTGCCACCTCCAGGAAAGCCAAGCGGGACCTGATTGACAACTCCTTCAACAGGTACCGGGGGCAGCAGGCAGCGTGGGGCGGTGGCCGGGGCAGGCCCTGGTGGGGGGCGTGGTCAGCTGTGATTTTGAGGGGCCCAGCCCCCCTTGGTTTCTCACTCTTGGGGAGAGAACAGGCTGCGTTGCGGAAGGGGAGATCCCTCATTTGACCCCTTCTCTCCTGCCCTGTGGGTGTGAGCTGTGTCCGGCAGTCACTTCCCGTGGGGGTGGTGTCTCTTCTGTCTGTTAGCCCCAAGGATGGGGGGAGGAGGGGCCAGGCCTGTGCCTGTCCCTGGGGCCTGCCCTCACCTGTCGGGCACCCCTCCCCCAGGTATGCCTTTAACGAGGAGGAGGGGGAGCTGCCCGAGTGGTTCCAGCAGGAAGAGCAGCAGCACCGCCGGAAGCAGCTGCCTCTGGACCGGCAGACGGTGGAGGAATACCGGCAGCGCTGGCGCCAGATCAACGCCCGCCCCATCAAGAAGGTGGCAGAGGCCAAGGCCCGGAAGAAGCGGCGGGTAAGTGAGCCGCATGGCCGGCGTCCCTGGGCGGGTTTCCCATCCCCCACCCTCTACTCTCGCTGCCTGGCCGGGCCCCCCAGCCACCCCCTGACCTCTCCCGTTTCCCCCCAGCTGCTGAAGAAGATGGAGCAGATGAAGAAGAAGGCGGAGGCTGTGGTGAGCACAGTGGATATTTCGGAGCGTGAAAAGGTGGCCCAGCTGCGCAGGTGAGTTACGATGTCGGGATCTACGGCATGGGCAGGGGGTGGTCGGATCTCTCAGAACAACAGAAGCCGGGCCAGGCCGCCATACGGCCGTGGGGCCAGGCCGCCATACGGCCGTGGGGCCAGGCAGGCTTCCAGAGCCGCATCAGGAGGTTCCCACCTCTGCCTTGGCCAGGCCCCCGCTGCTCAGGGCGTTTGAGCCGGGGGGTTCTGAGAAGAGGGTCGTGCAGCCAGTGACGTGGGAGAGTGGGGGGCGGGCTGGACGGGGGCTGAAGAGGCAGCTGAGAACAAAGGCGGGGAGGTGGCGGGGGTCAGACAGGAAGGGGGTCCCCATATTTTTCTGAGGCTGCGGCCCTGGAGGGCGTGGCAGCTCCCAGGGCTGTGGAGACGGGGGCTCAGCCCAGTGCTGTTTGTGCCCCAGGAAGCGTGTGGAGTCCAGGGCTGGGAGTTGCTCCCAGCAGCTGTCACATTGACACCCCCTGGGCTGGCCAGGGGCTGGGAGGGAGGGTCTCCGCTCTAACCTCTCTCCCCTCTCCTCTGGCAGCATCTACAAGAAGGCCGGCCTGGGGAAGGAGAAGCGAGAGGTCACCTACCTGGTAGCCAAGAAGGGGGTCGGCCGGCGTGTGCGGCGCCCCGCGGGGGTCAAGGGACACTTCAAGGTGGTGGACAGCCGCATGAAGAAGGACATGAGGGCTCAGAAAGGCAAAGAGAAGACGAGACGGCGCCGCAAGTGAGGACTCTGCCCCCGAGGGCTGGGCACGGCTGGCACCATGCGCCAGGCTGGGGTGGCTGGACAGCCCACGTGCCAGCCCTGGCCCCGACTCCGAGTGACTCTGGACAACCTGACCCTGTTCTGAGCCCCTGGCTCCTCAGCCAGAGAAGGAGGGAGTCACGCTCTGAATCATAAGAGGTCATTTCCTGTTGACCATGGAGCCACTTCCTGTCTGCAGCCTCGCGGGAACCGGCCCTGCCAGCCTCAGCTTCGTGGCGCCACTGCCCTTCCCAGGCTTGCTGTGCGGCAGACAATTGGTTAGCCCTGGTCATGTGGCTTCTGTGTTGCCCGCCCAGAATTGACAGCTGTGATGAGACTCCCCAGTGAGACGGCTGCACTCTGTACACCGGCCTGCCAACCGCACCCCACTGCGGGCGTGTCCCGGTCTCCCAGAGAGCAGGGCCAGGAGGTGACGGTTGCTTTCAGCCAGGCGTCCTGGGCTGGGCCAACCCCTGTGCAGTCCGCGGCCTGGCCCAGAGCAGGGGCTTCCTGCACTGGTTGTAGACGGCGCGGGAGTTCGCTGGGAAAGCAGGAGCTAAAGCTGGGCAGGGGGAGGCGTCCTTGTCTCTGGGGCTTTCTCATCTCCGCTGTCTGGTCTCCCGGGGGGCAGCGGCTCTCCTGGCTTGCTCTGAAATTAAACCCTGTTCTCTGGGCCGGTTTGCTGTTTCCCACGGCTTTGCTAGCCTGCCGCCGGGTTAGCTCTGGGGCTGGGTGTCTCTTTCGGCCTCCTGGCAGCAGGACGCTGGGGCTGCTGTCACCGCTCGCTAAAGCAGGTGCAGCTGCCAGCATCAGATGGGGCAGTTCCCCAAATGCGCTGTGGCCTCTCCCCTTGGGACTCTCTCTCAGCCCTGCCTATCTCAAGAGGGGAAAGGGAGCTGAGCTGGGGACTTGAGAGAGAGAGGCCAGTGGAGTGCTAGCTACTGGGATTGGGGAGGTCGGGAGGCCTGGGACAGAGGCCAGAACCCAGGCTCTGTCCTGCACCTGGCGTGGCACTGTTGCCAAGTGTGGGGGGAAGGGCAGAGATCTCTTTCTCCTGCTCCAGCCAGAGGCATCAGTGTGGAGTTGAGGGCAGGGCGGGAGGGATGGTCTTGGGCTCTGTTTTGGTGTCTCTTCACTGAAACGACTCTGCCTCGTTCTCTCCCCCAGCCTCTTGGCAGGTCCAGACTGGGACACCAGCTCAGTGACGTGGGCCATGTCCTAAAGCGCATGGACACGAGGGTCCCTGCCCAGCTCTCAGGAGCCTGCACTGTGAGCTCTTGGGAGGCTGCCGCAGGATTGTAGCTGGGTGTGAGAGCACTGTGGCGCAGCCACCCTTAAATCAGGCATTTCCCAAGTACCTGACTGCAACTAATGGCTTTAACATGGCTTTGTGGGTGGAGCTTCCTGATTTCTTTTGTTTAAAAAAGCCCCTCATTGGAACCCTACTGACCCTCTACACAGGTCAGCAGCAGGGTTGGAACCTTTAGACGAGCTGCACAGACCTGTCACTTCAGCCGACGGAGTAGCTGATGGCAGTAGAAGGCTGTTATCCTCCATGTAGACCACTCACTAGAGGGGAGAAATGAGACTTCCCCCTTCACAGGTGGGTTTCACAGCTGTTTGCCGACAGCAATGGAGAATGGAGACCGAGGGCGGTCAGGGTTCCATTCCAGGTTCTGGGGGGAAGTGTTCTCTAGTGGTTCTAGATCTGTCCCCTCTGATTTCTGCCACCGCCCGTCCCCACACCTTCCTCACTTTTCTGTGGCCTGGGCACAGTTTCCTTCTCTTCCACACTGCCTGGGCTCCAGCAGCAGGAGTGTTGAGATCACAGCAGACCTTTCGGGTGCCCAGCCACCACTGTGGTCTCTGGGGGTTGGAATGATCCACCACTGGCACATGCTCAGTCATTCTGTGGGTTGGTGCATACAGTCAGGCTGGCGGTAAGAGCCGGGAGAGCAGGGAGCATGCTCAGGGCAGGGGCAATCTTGGGAGAACTTAGCCGTAAAACACTGACAAGTCTCTATGGAGCATGTGCAAACTGAATGGCTTTTAGAGACTCAAAACTCAGCCAAATTTTTACATGGGGGTCAATGTCCCTGCTCCAAAGCCAGAGCTCAACAACACACTGGCACGAATCTTTAACAAGGGCAAGTCACTGTGTTTTTCCAAAATAGCTGAGCCATGTTACATGACCCCAGACCATAAATAAATAGACGATGTGGCAGACACGGCTGGAACCCAGTTTCTCTGGCACAGTTACAAACAGCTGCACCCAGGGCCTTAGGATGGGATCTGTCAGGCTCCTGGCACCAGCCCGGCCTCTGGTTTGCGAAATGTGTCTCAGGCAGTGAGCGGAGCCTGGGCTGAAGAGGAGTCCGTGGCGCCTGCTGTCTTGCTGGTGGCCTAGAGAGGCTGAGCATCGGCCCAGCACTCCGTGGTAGCTGATGTTCTGGGCTGTGCCTGTGTTTAGGTTGGGAGGCAGCTGTGCAAAGGATCAGCCGCTCTGGACAGATGCTGATTGGGTCCCACCGGCCCTTGGGCTTTCCCCCAGGGCTGCCTGCCGTGCTTTAGCTCGTGTTTGCTCACACCCTGTTTGGTGCAGTTCTGTGCACCACCCTTGATCGTTGCTCCCTTGTGCCCCCTACTCTGGCTCCATGGGCACCGCTCGTCAGTCACTCCAGCGGCAGATTGTTGAGCGGTCGAGTTTGAGGCCCAAACCCATCTGCTCAGCTAGTCTCACCTGCTGTCTAGCACAGGTCCCTGAGCAGCACTCAGCCAGCACCTGGAATCAGCCCAAACTCTTAGTCCTCAGCCGATGAAACTCGTGTGTGGCAGCGGTGGGACTGAGGTGGCATCACTGCCTGAGGCCCCTGCAATGGCAGGGAATTAAGTGAGCTGTAGCCATGTGAGCTGTCTGATGCTGGAGGTGGAAAAGTCCCTGAGGCTGCACTTGACTCGAGGCAAGTCGGGTGCCTAGGACTGAGGGGTGGCCTCGCCTGCCTAGTGATGCTGACACCCCGTGATCACAGCTGTGTATTCCTGCCTGGCCTTGTCCCAGGGAACAGGCATCCGCTCACTGCAGGAAGCTGCATGGAGCACCCAGCTGCCAGGGCCTTGCACTGGGGCCCTCAGCGTTCAGTAAAAGAAATACATCCCCCCCCGGCTGCTGTAAGGACAGAGGGGGCAGTTGCCCCAGGCTGGGTCCTGCACCTTCCCCCGGGGGCTCCAGAGCAGCTGGAGTCCAGATGTTTGTGAACATTGCACTAGTGGCCCTAGGTGACTTGTAAAATTCTGACCGTGAGAGCCCCCAGGAAGCTGGCACAGCACCGGGGGAGCCTCCCCTCCCCCCAGATCCGCGCTAGCTGCTGCATGGCACTGTGATGCAGTAGGGAGCGGGGTGGATTGACTTGGGAATGTCATTTAGTTTTACTGGGACTGTCTGCATGGGGGATGGGAGAGCAGGGGATGACTTTAGGTGAGGGACGGTACCTGAGCCTGTAACCTGAGCCAGGAAGGGGGGTGGGGTGAGTCGACACCTTTGCCTGGGAAACTGGACAAAGGGACGGGGGAGAGAGCCGGCTGAAGGGGTTTTTTGTTTTCAGTTTGGGGCTGGCTGGGAAGAGGCAGGGAAACCCAAGTCTGGGGTCTAAGACCCTTGCCCCCCAGAGGGACCTGGCTAAGGGGTCCTGGTTGTACCTACAAGCCCTGCTTGGGACTGTGTTCCTGTCAAACCTGTTGTACTGGCTGGCTGAGAGTCACGGTGAATCGCAGGAAGGGTGGGTGCAGGGCCCTGACTCCCGCACACTCCGTGACAACTGGTGTCAGTGGTGGGATCTACTGCACACCGTGGACAGCACTTCCTGCAGTAAGGGACTGGGGAGCAGTAAAATGAAGGGGGATTGACGGGGACCAGGCATGCTGAAGAGTCAGCGAGGGACGGTTTCAGGGGGCGATTAACCCCTGGGAGTGTGTGACCAGACTTTTGCAGTAACAGGGTCCCCCGGGGGATTGCAGCGAGCGGTTCCAGGGGCGGAGGAGTCTGCCGCTTGACCCTGGCAGAGAGGTGGTGACCTCGAGAAGGGCTGGCACACTAGGGGTCTCCCTGGAAACTGTGGGGAGCGGCGAGCACACAGGCCTGCGAGTGGCCAGCAGGAAGATGTATGCTAAGCGGCTTAAGAGCAACCTGGTGGAGCTGTGCAAGCAGAGGGGGCTGCGCAGTGGGAGGCTCACCAAAGAACAGCTCATTGCCCAGCTGGAGAAGGGAGATCGCTCGAATGAACTGATCCCTGTCTCTGAGGGAAGCAGCCTGGCAGATGCAGCGCAGGCACCAGTGTCTGTCCCAGCTGGGAGTGGTCAGCCAGCTGCTGAGGGCTTCCCGAGACCCCTCCTTCCTATGCCTAGGGGAAGGGTGGGGGGGAGCCCAGCAAATACCGAGGGCACCGTGACCCCCCGGGCCAGCAGGGGATCGTCCCGGTAAAGCTCGGCATCAGTGGCGCTGAAGAGGCTGGAATGGGAAAAAGAGCTAAAACTGAGAGAGCTGGAAGATCGCGAAAAACAGAGACAGCATGACCTGGAGGAGAAAGAGAAACAGAGGCAGCATGAACTGGAGCTGGCCAGGCTGAGGGGCAACGAGCCCCCGGCTGCGGTGAGTGAGGGGGGACCCAGGACTGCACAGAGCTTTGATAAGTGCTTCCTGGCCCAGCATAAGGAGGGGGAGGACATGGATGACTTCCTGGATGCCTTTGAGATGGCCTGGGAGCTGCACCAGGTTGTTCCTGCGGACAGGCTCCGGGTTCTCACCCCCTTACTGGACCCCAAAGCCGTGGCATTGTACCACCAACTGGAAGGGGTGGAGAAAGGGGACAACAAACTATTCAAAAACACTCTGCTACGTGAGTTTGGGCTGACTCCTGAGATGTACCGGGAAAGGTTCCGGAGCTAGCGTAAAACCGCTGAGGTCTCATATCTGCAACTAGCCGTCCGCATGGAGGGATACGCCAGCAAGTGGGCAGATGGGGCCCAGACGAAGGAGGAGCTGGTTAAACTGATCGTACTAGAACTGTATGAGCAGTGCCCATCTGACCTGAGGCTGTGGTTGATGGACAAAAAAATCAGAGAACCAGCGACATGCAGGGCGGCTGGGGAACATCCAGCGTCAGGGCCAACTGACCGGCTCGAGGGGACCAATGGGACATGGGCTGCTATTACTGTGGCCAGAGAGGCCACATACGGTCCCAGTGCCCCAAACTCAAGGACAGACTGAGCAGACTGAACCCATAGAGGGTTAACTGGGTAGAGACTTCCCAGGCAAGGGGGGCTGGCAGCTTATCAACTGCTCAAGAGAGAGGAGGGCCCCAGGCCAGCTCCTCTGAGGGGCTGGATGCCCTGGACTCAAAGTTCTCCATTTACAGGGTGGGCGCGGGGCTGTCCCTGTGGAGTGAGTGCCTTGTTCCCCTAGAGGTGGATGGGAGGAAGGTCAATGGATACAGGGGCTGAGGTGACGTTGGCCCGGCTCGAGGTGGTAGCTCCAAATTGAGTGATGCCCAACACCTACCTGACCCTGATGGGGGTGGGCAGGACCCCATTCAAGGTGCCCGTGGCGAGGGTACACTTGAAATGGGGGGCCAAGGAGGGCCCCAAGGAAGTGGGGGTGCACCACCATTTGCTCACTGAGGTGTTAATGGGGGGGGACCTGGAGGACTGGCCAAGCAACCCCCAGGGTGCCCTGCTCGTGACCCATAGCCAGAGCCGGCGAGGGGCACTACGCCCTGACTTCGGGGAGGGTATCTTGCCCAAGGCGCAGGGCCCTACCCTGGAGGGGAGGGAGTGC